GCAAAAATTACTGTAAGTAGCTCTTTCTCAGTTGTGGTGTTATTTTCTTGAGCATCATCAAGTGTTCTGCTAGTATAGTAAATTGGGTAAAATACTTTATCTTTCTTTTGATAGTGTATAGCACTAATAGCATAATCACTAGCATCACACATTCCAATAAACAACTAACTCCAATCAAGAGTTATCATGATAAGTGCATACGTAAGTCCTTTCTTTAATTCTTTCAATGCTTTCAAGTAAGAATTTTTAAATTTAAACTCAACATCTTTTTCAATAAGATTACAGAGAGGCTTGGCTATCTTAGAGAAATTCTTGATAAAGCAATAATAGAATCCTTAATGGCTTAGAAAACTCCTCACACCCCTAACATTAGTAGGTAAAGAAAGTTGTTCAATCTCAAAGTTTTTTCCTTTATCAACTTCTAAGCCATTTTTGGAGACTTTACGATAAGGACTATGCTCTCCTTAACCATGAAATGACATTTTTCTCAACTCAAAGCCAAGCTAGTTTCTTCATATCTTTTCAACACATTAGATAAATTGGTTAATCATTTATCATAAGAGTTTGCAAAAATCACGAAATCATCCATAGAAACTTCTATAGTATGTTGGATCATGTTAGAAAAAATTGCCATCATACACCTCTTGAAAGTTGCTACTCATTTCATAACCCAAAAGGCATGTGCTTGAAAGTGAAAGTTCCATGAGGATAAATGAAGGTCTTTTTTTCTCGATCCTTTAGGGTAATGTCAATTTGATTGTAGCTAGAATATCCATCTAAAAAGTAAAAGAATTCCCTTCAAGCTAATTTATCAAGCATTTGGTCAATGAATGGGAGAGGAAAATGATCTTTCCTAATGGCTGCATTTAGCTTCTGATAGTCCATACACACTCTCCAGCCAATAATAGTGTAGATAGGAATTAGCTCATTATGGGTGTTAGCTACTATAGTCATACCTCCCTTTTTGGGGACGCATTGGACAAGGCTTACCTAAGAGCTATCAGAGATAGGATAGACAATACTTGCATCAATTCATTTTAAGATCTCCTTCTTCACAACTTTCTTTATAATAGGATTCAATCTTCTTGATTTCCTTTAAGAAAAATCTTATGCATGCAAAATGAAGGGCTAATACCTTTTATATTAGCAATAGTCCACTTAATAGCCTTTTTGTGAGCTTTAAAGACTTCCACATGTTGTTCTTCTTGTTATACGTTCAAGTCTGCAACAATAATGACTAGCAAAATGTTATTAGCTCCCAAATAGACATATTGAAAATGAGAAGGTAATACCTTCAACTCAAAAGATAATGGCTCCTCAATAAAAGACTTTAAAGATAGTCTATCAAGAGAAGACACATGTAAAGATTCAAATTGGACATAGTTATTAGAATAAATTGGTGATGCATTCATGATAGCCATATACTCTTCTCTTTCTTCTTGAGTCACTAATTGAGCTCCTAGTAATAAGGCTTCTAAGAGATCATTAGGCATTGAATCATTGAATTCTTTTTGTGCAACTTGATTAATCATATCAACAAAGAAGTATTGTTCAAGGTTATTAGGAGACTTCATTAACTTGTGCATGTTAAAGTGACTTGCTCATCATTAACTTGCATGGTAAGCTTACCCTTTTTTACATCAATTAAAGTTCTAGTGGCTGTCAATAATGGTCTTCCTAAGATAATAGGAATATTACAATCCACCTTATAAGCAAGGATAATAAAGTCAATAGGGAAAATGAATTTATCCACCTTCATAAAGGAAATCTTTAATAACACCACATGGATAAACTAGGCTTCTATTCGCTAATTGCAACGTGTCGGTCTAGCCTCACCTAATTCCAACTTATTAAAAATAGAAAGAGACATAAATTTAATGCTAGCACCAATATCCCATAATGCCTTTCCCAGAAATTTATTTCCAATATGGCATGGAATTGAGAAGCTACCAGGATCCTTCATCTTTTAAGGTAGTTGCTTGATGATATCTATGCAACTCTTGGTTAAAGCAACCATCTCAAATTCATTAAATCTTCTTTTGTTAGAGAGTACATCTTTCATGAACTTAGCATATTTGGCATTTGCTCCAAAACTTCCACAAAAGGAATGTTAATATGCATTTGTTTGAACATATCAAGAAACTTTTTGAATTGGCCATCTACTTGTTGCTTTCTAAGCCTTTGAGGGAAAGGTGGCAGAGGCACATATTTTGGCCTGGCCTTTTGTGGCTTTTTTTCTCATTAGTGACCTTTTTGGCTTTATGATCATTATTTTTCTCTTCTTGATTCTTCTTTGCATTGTCACATTCCTCAACCACAATATCTTCATCAATTGCTTTATCATTAACAGCAATATTAGTAGCACCATTACTCACACCATTAAGCATAAGAACTTTAGGTAATTTCTTTCTACTTCTCAAAGCGATTGCCTTACACTCCTCCTTACTATCCCTTTTAGGATTTGGAATGGTGTCACTAAGAAGATTACTTCTTGACATGGCATTCATTTATGAAGCCAATTACCCCATTTGCACTTCAAGATTCTTAATTGCAATTTCATGAAGAGAAAGAGTTGCCTTAGTTTTAGCTTTTGTAGACTCTTGATTACTCAAAATTTGAGATGATATCTTCTCCACTCGAGACTCCTCTTCCTTAAAGGATGACTTGGCTTGACATTAGAAGATAAAGTTTGATTTAAAGAATTCCCTTTACTCTATGAAAAGTTAGGATGATTCCTCCATCCTAAGTTGTCTGTTTGAGAGTAAGGGTTATTATAAGAATTTTGAAACTTGCTCATGTAGTTGACAAATTTAGTATTCATATAGATTGTACACTGATTGGAGATGTGTATATCATTGCATTGATTACATACAATTGGAATGACATGAATAGAATACACATTCTGAGAATTTTTCCTTTGCATTTGAGACTCTAACACATCAAAATGCTTGTTCATTGTAGATAAGATGGCTATAATTCAAGAAAAAGAATCCTCTTTAGAACTAGTCATCATTATTGTATTCCTTCATTAGCATTTTGAGTATCGTTTGTAGACAATTGATCCAATAGTTAGAAAACTTCATTAACAAGTGCACTATGATATCCCTCATTAATGATAGAATCAACCTTGGCCTTAAAGGATGGATTCAAACAATTGCAGAAAATATGAATCACTACCAATCAATCTAGGTCTATGGCTTGCATATGCCAAATAGGTATCCTAAGAAGAAAACAACCAAGGAAGCATCAAACTAAAGCAAAAATAAAAATACTAAATAAAAGTAAAATAAAATATCTACAATTAATATCTACAAAGCTCAAGTGAAATTTACTATCACTAGCCAAAGGTTGACAAAAATATTTTCAAAATCAAATCTCCAACAACGATGCCAAAAACTTGTTGCATTCTCCACAAGTGTACGGTTTGTGACAAGTAATATAATGTGAATAAAGTATTGTTTCCATGGAGATTTGTTAATGGTGATCAAGCAAAAGACTAAGTAAATTTAATTAAGTTGAGCAAAACATAATTAAGTGAAATTGACTTTTGAAATTAAATTGACACTAGAAAATAAAGAATAGAGAATGATTCACAAAATTCAAATATAAATTGAGACCTAAGATTATTTATCCCCCTTGCATCTCATAACACTAAAATTACCTCCTCTCATAAATCCTTTTAATGAAGATAAGTGCTAGCGTAGGATTCTAAAAATATTTAAACAAGCTCTCTCAAGTCATAAACAAGTGTTTAGTTAAATTAACTGCTCAACTTCTTGTTACAATCAATAAAACCCAATTTTAAGTATCAACTCTAATGTGGTTTTGCAAGGCTAGCAAGTATATCTCTATCTTACTAGCAAAACCATGCATTGATCTTGCAAATTTTAAGTTCTTGCACTATTTTATCCAAATTCTACACCCAAGCAAGGTCTCTCAAGTATCACACAAGTGAATCTAACATCTAAATGATGGCCAAACACTTAGAAATATTAAGAAAAGAGTAAAATAAATATCATATATCATTAATCACAAAAAGAAAGAAGAAACTTATTGTTAATCCATACAAGGGTTCAAAATAATCTTGGAGCAAAGAGTTTAGCTACTTGTAAACATCAATAAGCTACAAATACACAAAATATTCATAGCCATATTAGATTATAAGAAGAGAAATGGAGAAGAAACAAAAGAACCAAAGAAATGAAGCTTCAAATGTCTTCAAAGCTTCAACTCTTGGACCCAACTCATTCAAAGTGTCATCAAGTGTGTAGAATGCATTATGGGTTGAGTAAGCATCATATATGTATCATACCTAAGCATTTTCAGATAAATAAAACAAAGCATTTTACTGACAGTGTTGAAAGTTGCAAACAAAGTCATAACTTTGGTGACGACTTTGGTAGTTTTGCATTGTTCTCGCAATTAACAAAACCTATCCTCTTTACACTTGATTTCTTCATCCAAAAGCCTTCCAAAAGCATCACCAAAGGCCTAGAAATATTTTCTACCCAACCTTAAACCAAAATGACACAAATTAAGCCCAAAGATGTTAAATTAAAACCAAGTGTGCCAACCTAAAACAAGATACACATTTTCCTAATTTGGGCAATCAAAATATATACAATTAAACCAAAATATATTAAAAATTAAGAAAAATGGGCTCAAATAACATGGAATTCTAGATGTTATTAGTGGGTTCCCAATTTGGAGTGCCTAAGTTATCAAGGTCGTTTGAATATGCGACCATCCATTCATACGGAATGTGTATAATGCGACCATTCATTCGTTTGAATAGATAAATAATATTGTTCCTCTTCTCGTGCACGAAACATTATTTCCTGTACCGTAATCTAACTTATGCTTGCTAGCATAAGTCAAACCTTTCTAATTATAAAACTATATCTACTTATTTTGAACAATTCATCACCAATTTATTTATTAGCTAGTATCTATCTGCATTCCTACACGCAGCCCACCATTGAAATAGCGTCTACCATAGAATGATGGGATCAACAAAACCAATTATTAGAGTTCGTGAATTTCGGATCATATTCTACATAGCTGTTCTGATCATCAATTTCATCAGAACGAGTACTTCTCAAGCACCAATCTACGTCGGAGATGACTGCCATGACAGAGCCCAGCAAGCTCTTACAGCCTCATACAAAGCCAACCTTAACCAGCTTCTCGCATGGCTCTCAACCAACGCAGGCACAAGCGAAGGCTACAACCATACGGCCATCGGCACTGCCACTAATGCTGTCTACGGCCTTTATGACTGCCGCGGTGACACCGCCGGATACTTCTGCCAGTTCTGTGTCTCCGCTGCCACTAGAGACGTTCTCCAACGCTGTCCCAATCAATCTTCCGCTGTAATATGGTACAGATCTGGCAATCCGCGAACCACACTAATGTCTTTGTTTTCGGTTCATTTCTCTATATTCTTTGAATTTCAGGGATTTGAAATTATATTTTTCTAACTCAACAATCATAAGGTAAATAGTATACACACCCCCTCTAGTCCTGCATATCTAATATCTCACCCAAATCAATGAGAGGTAATTCAGTCCTTAAATTTGTTTGAAAATAAATTAACTTTCAATTTTACCCCTACGAAAATTTTTCTAATTTAGGTTACATTTTCTCTCATAATTACTCTCTCTGAACCAATGTATTAGTAACTACTCTACGGTTTTCAAAATAGGTAAGTTGAAACCTTAATCTTTTAAAACAAAAATACATCTTAACAATTATACTCTTATTAAATATTCTATATTAATTTCTTGATAATGACAATTAAAATTTCAAAACATCATTTTAAAAAAAATGAAGTAAGGTTATAGTTGAAAAAATAATTATAAAAATTATCCAATATTCTCTATTTTAGATCAAGTAAAACTTTTAAAAAATGTCCTATATAATGGTTTGGAGGGAGTAATGAGTTTACATAAGAGTAATAATATTGGAATTAATACCCATCAGGATCCTTAATAAAAAATCTTTCTACAAAGCATCCTATAACATGAGAATATATAAATATACATATATATATATATAGAGAGAGAGAGAGAGCACAAATAACGGGGATCTTCAAAAATCAGAAGGTATGTACCGAATGAATGAAATTTAACTACTAATATTGCTTATGCAAGTGTTTATTTGATGGCAACGTAGGTTCGACTTCTGCATCCTTCGATACTCTAACAATAACTTCTTTGGGAACGTGACGACTAGCCCGTCTTGGATTGTCGTCGGAGCAAAGACGGTGTCGGATCTGAGTTTTATGAGAAGTCTAATACAAACAGCGACAGAAGACACAAAGGAATTGGGTGCAAGAGGAGAGTTTGATTTGGGTGGAGGAAGAAAAAGGTATGCATTGGTTCAGTGTAGTAGAGACCTTAACACCGAAGGTTGCAGACAATGCTTGGAGGCTATGGTGGATAAAGTTCCTCAGAGTTGTGAGAAGCTAGGATGGCAGGTTTTGGCTCCAAGTTGTCTGATTAAGTACGATGATTTCATGTTTTATCAATCAACTTCTTCCTCTAGTCCTAATTCTTCAACAGGTATAAAACTTAATTCCTTCAAGTTTGCACTCATCCACATAAAATCTTGCTACTCATTTAGTATATGAGGCTTGAAAGATGGCAGAAAAATAATATTATTATTTACAAATTTTTATTCTTCGGAGTTATTGATTTTAAAGTAGTTTTAGGCTTTAAAAGAATTGGTTATTAGGAAAAAAAAGTGAAATTTGAAAATTACACATTTCTACTCTTTCTTGTGCTACTATCTTTTTGAAAATTAAATCAATAAGAAATTTTAAATAATCTCTAGTATTAACACATTCTTGTTTGAAAAGAAAGCATGTGAGAAAAGATAAGTATATTAAATTAAGAAAACATCATTTTCAAACCGTACACGGACTATTTAAATATTAAAATGTCCCATCAAATCTATCACAAAACTATCTAAGTTGAATATTTTTTATTGAAGTTATTTATTTATTTATATTAAAATGTTCAATTATTATTAAACAGTTTTAAGTGGAGTTATTCAGTTAACAATTAAGTAACAATATTTAGTAACTATCTAGCAATAATTGATAATTTTAATAAATGATATTTCAAAATAGTTTTTTGATTTCATAAATCTTATGTGTATTTAAATTGCGTTTGTAGGATTGAAAGTAATTTTTTTCCCTCAAATTAATCCAACTGCCCCCTTTTTATAAAATAAAGAGAGGCAATTTCGAAACGAAATTGCGATGCTTTTGACTTGTTGATCCATGTGCAGTGTGCAGATGGAGAAAGGTCAACTGACTTGGTGAGATGAGTGGTCTCAATTTCATACAAATCTTTAACATGATTTTAGTATTAAATGATTGGATTTTTTTTTTTTGGTTGGAAAAATGACTGATTTCAAATCTCACAAGTGCACATGCAAAAACGCACTCACACACAATTTATTAATATTATTAATTAATTATTAATATTAATAGTAATATAACATTAATTTGAAAGATTAATGGTACTTAAAATCTTCTAAAATCAAATAGTGTAGATTCTATTTATGTTGTTTCACTTAAAATTTCGACATTTATTTACCGTAAATGTTTTATTTTATTTTACCTTTCTGTAATTTTGTCATGTGACAGTAAAGTTAAATTTTTAACTGATACTCCTTCCTTCTCAATTTAGAAAACACTTTTAAACAAAATTATTTATTTCAATAAAACTTATTAAATATAGTTTACAACATTATGCTTTTAAGATAAAAATATAAAATTTCAAAAGTACCCTTCACTTAATACTCTAATTATAAAAAAATATCAAAGAAAAAGAATATAAAAGAGAAGGATAATAATAAAAAAGTATTATTAACGAAACTTTATTTTTATCAAAGTGTATTATATTTTGAGATGCTGAATCTATTCAAAAGTGTCATATAATTTGGGACAGAAAGAGTATAAAATTAAAAATTTATCCTTCAAGAATTTTTAATTTTATTAAGTAATATCGTTTTACTCATACTACAACTCTAGCAGAACTTTACGCATTACTATGTATGTCAGATCAATCTTTAGCATATGCATCTTTATGTGTTAGTACCTCATGTGATTTGTCATTGATGCAGCCCATAATGGTGGTAGGAAGTCAAAAGCCTTGATCATAATCATAAATGTATTAGTGGCCATGGTTATATTAATTTTGTTTCTGTTGATCTTCTGGTGGAGGAAGACTAGAAATGGTATATATTTATGACATTTTATGTGCATTCAGATTTAGTGAAGTGGCGTGAATTTTTAGTTTAATTATATTCGACATATTTTATTGTTACTTTCATTTTAATTTGTTTTCTATCATCACCTTAGCATTTGATTCACAGTAATTTTCCCTAGCTTTTAAGAAAACGGTAATTTCTCCTCGAATTTTCTATGGAAATATGCAGAGAAAACTTCTCTTGGAAAAACACACATAACTTAATATTCTCTCTCAATTTTAATTGAGAGAAATTTCCTCTCCGTGATTATTGAACGAAATATATTCAATTTTTTTCATAAAAATATCCGAGGAAAAATATTAAAAATAAACAAATACTGAACGATGACTTTATAATTCTCTATTATCTTTTTTGCATTTTTTTGGTTGATTATTTTTTGTCAATGAAACACTTTTCATAGTAATTAACGATTAACTTATATTAATTTCAGTACCTTCAGTGTGCTCTTAATCTTCACAAACTGTCAACTGAGATACTATGTAGTGAGTTTAGCAATTGTAATATGTCATAAGTACCATACACAACAAAAAAATTGACTTTCAACGGCGACATTTGTCACCGCTGAGAGTCAAAAAGTCACCGCTGAAAGTAGTCGCCGCTGAAGCTTGCAACATAATTTTTTTAAAAGAATTTAAAAATGCCAACAATCAGCGGTGACACTAAAAAGTTGCCGCTGATTCTCAACTTTCAGCGGTGACTTGTATGTCACCGCTGAAGCTTGCAACATAATTTTTTTAAAAGAATTAAAAAATGCTGACAATTAGCGGCGGCACTAAAAAGTTGCCGCTAAAAGTCCACTTTTAGCAGCGGCACTAAAAAGTCACTGCTGAAAGTCCACTTTCAACGGCGACTTTCAGGTCGCCGCTGAAGCTTGCAACATAATTTTTTTAAAAGAATTAAAAAATGCTGACAATCAGCGACGACACTAAAAAGTCACCGCTGATTCTCAACTTTCAGCTGCGACTTGTATGTCGCCGCTGAAACTTGCAACATAATTTTTTTAAAACAAATAAAAAAATGCTGCTAATCAGCGGCGACACTAAAAAGTCACCGCTGATTCTCAACTTTCAGCGGCGACAATAAAAGTCGCCACTGATTCTCAACTTTCAGCGACGACAGTAAAAGTCGCCGCTGAAAGTGTGACTTTCAGCGGCTACATAAAAGTCTAACAATCAACGGCGACTATATCTTGTCACCGCTGAAAGTCACACTTTCAACGGCGATGTTTATTGTCGTCGCTGAAAGTGTGACTTTCAGCGGCGACTTTTTAGTGTCGCCGCTGAAAGTCGCCGCTGAAAGTTTTTTTTTTTTGTAGTGATATTATTAGAGGAATGAATTCTTTGTCATATAAACGCTACTTTTTTTTTTCTCCATGAATGATTGCATGTATAATAACTACATATTGATTCTTATCATGAAAGAATACATGATATGGTCAATAAGGTAGTTTTTTGTTTTTAACAATTATCAAAACATAACTTCACTAATCCATAACCTCTAATAATAAATTTGATATGATTAGACTAAAACTTTTCAAACTGCATTAATTTGACCCACTTTTTATGTCTACTTTCTCAAATCTCTCAATGCTCTCTTCGCTCACATATATTTGTGTAAATAAATATATGGTCATGAGATATATCAAAGATCAATTTACATGTGCTTGTCTTGTATATAATATATGACTATTATATACATGAAGGGTTTTTAACTGTCATATATATACGGGGGACTGCAAATGATAGCTTAATATATGACTATTCTTAATCATCATATATAAGTAGAAATAACAATCAATTTTTGTCCAGTTCTGTTGTAGTGTTACTTATTGTCCATCGACTACTTGAATACTACATTTACATTTAATTTTTTCAATTACTCTCGTTTTCTTGCACATCAAGAAAAGCTACGTACAAAAAATAATATCTTGTTTCTAGCATGAAAGTTGAATATCATGTATGTACATCCTTCTAATAATATTCTTTGGCATCAATTCGTACTTGCTAATTTAAGGTTTTACAAAGTTCGCCTTCTAATTTTTACTGTGATTTACATTGCAGACAATGATGACTTTGATGAGTGCACTTAATTAACAATTTTTTGATTGATTTTCATTTTGATAAAAACAAATGTCAGTAGTAGGGCTCTTTTTATACTCTCCATTGACACTTCTTGCCAACTGGATGACTTATTTACCAAATTACATAAAAATCGGTTATCTTTGCGCCGAGTTTGTCAAACTCAGGTTGGTCTGTTCAGCCCTGCATATTGAGTTTTTCTTTTTGGCCCAAACAAATCTTCCATCTTGAGTTTGGGGAAGCTGATGGTATAATCTGTTTTTGCTGACTAGACCAATGCATTTGATGTGATGAGTAGACCATGAGAGGTGAGAAATTGTTGCATGTGCTAGGAGTACCACTTCATCCATGCTCTATTCAATAGAATTGTACTAGTTCAATAAAATAAAATCTTATATGCATTTTTTAATCACTTTATTTTTATAATAGAGTGCCTCTTTAATTTCTTCCTTCTCTCTCTCTCTCATCATTAATGGTGAAATCAATTTATATTTGCAGCCATCTAACACAACATGTTTATAAAGGATAGCATACAAATGATGTAGTAGTGCTCTTGGTCCATACAAGAATTTCCTGTGTTTAACATGGCCATATTTCACATAAATGATTTTTTAAAATTTCTTTGTTTAATAGAATTAACTTTTTTATAACGAAAATTAGATTGTCATAGTTATAATGATATTTTATTTACTAGTTACTTTTACTGTTTTGGGACGTAGCAACTATATATGCAATGACATGTGAATCTTTTCTCTATATAATGCTGTCGATAAGATTTTTCTTGAACTATTTTCGTCATCAAATGATGAAGAGAATAGGAAGAAACTAGATTGGAAACGAAGACCGAATATTATTAATGGGATTGCAAGAGGACTTTCATATCTTCATGAAGACTCTCGACTTAGAGTAATTCATCGAGATTTGAAAGCTAGCAATGTCCTTTTGGACAATGAGATGAATCCTAAAATATCAAATTTTGGACTAACACACTACTACAGAATATATCTTTAGGAGCGGGTATTTAAGAGCGCTTTTTTAAAAAGCACTCTAAAATGTGAATGCAGAATTTACCGGAGCGCTTTTCTAAATAAGCGCTCTGTATGTTAGGGCTTTTCAATAAGATAACGCTCTTAATTAATATAAATAGAATATTATAAAAAATTTAAAAAGACCTTCGGGAGCGCTCGTAGATGAGCGCTCCGAAAGAGCTCATCTTCCGAAGCGCTCTTTTAATGAGCGCTCCGAAAGAGTTATTCTTCCGGAGCGCTCGTCAAAGAGCGCTCCGGAAGAGAGATCTTCTGGAGTGCTCTTTGATGAGCGCTCCGGGAATGAGCGCTTCGGAAGAGGTGGTCTTTTATATCTCTGCCGCCCGTCAGTTTTCTTTTCCGTATTCATGAGTTTCTTTCAAACCTCTCTCTCATTTGCTGAGGTTGTGCGTTCTCAACAAGTTCCAGATCATCGCTGTATCAGTCTATCTTCCGTCGCTGTTCGCTGTTCCAGATCATCGTTCGCCACTGTTCGCTGTTCCAAATCATCATCTGCTGCTGTTTGTTGTTCCAGATTAGTGTTTGTTACTGTTTGTTCATTTCTGTGTCATGTCGCGCCATCTGTCTCTGTTTTTGTGCTGCCGTCGCCGTCAACGCCATCTCCTGCATCACTATTCCAGATCTGCATTGCTGTTCCAGATCTGTGCGGCTGCTGTACACTGGAGGAAGCGACACCGTGAAGACCTCCGCTACTGCCGTGAAGACTATATTGTGAAGGTATTTTTTTAATAATTAATTTATATTGTAATGTATTGATATATTTATATATATTTGAGAATAAATTTCATATATATTTTTTAATAATCAATATTATAGATAATATATGAATTGGAGTTATTTATCTTAGAATTATGGAGTATTTGTAGTTGATAATTAGATTAAAGTTGAGGAAACTACTTGAACATTTTTATTTTATTTATGAAATATACTTTTAAGGGAGATTATTGTTATTAATTAAATTACAATTGATTGACAGAATTTAGATGCATTATGCTACTAAATTTTTATTTGGATGAATTGATTTTTTTTGAGTTTAAATGTATTGTGTTGTGGAATTTGATTGTTTGACCATTTGGGAGGTTCTTCTTTTAAGGAAGATGTTGTTGAATTTTTTTTTATAGAAATCTAAGTCTTTTGTTTATTGAATTTTAATAATCATATTAGTGATATGGATCATAAGTGGATGTCGGCTAATCAACTATCTAGAGAATATTGGGATGGTGTGGATGAATTCATTGAATTTGCATTTTGTTGTGATCAAGACCCCCTTGGAGTCATATGTCCTTGTTTGAAATGTTGCTATGGAAAAAGAGTAAAGCCAATAGAATTGAAAGATCATTTAATCTGTAATGGGATTAATCCAACTTATACTTGTTAGATCATGCATAGGGAGACAAGGAATGATGCAAATGATTGGAGGGATAGTGCGAGCTACTCAACATTTGATCGTGATAGTGGGACATATGATGTTGACCGTCTTGATGAAATGATTCATATATATAACTTCATCGCTGAAGTATTTTAAATTAAGTTAGAATTTATTTCCACCATATTTTGATAATGACATCTTTTATTGTTTTATAGGTACCTACACAATTACAAGGTTGGGAGTGTGGATACTATGTTATGAAGTTTATGAGAAAAGTAATCACACAACAAGAGTTGATCATTCCTAAAAATGTAAGTCAAAAACTTTAAAATTAAGTTGATATAATGTTAATTACTTATATATTGCTTTCATATCTTGTGTAGTATTTTGTTGGAGTAAGATGTTCGTATTTTACTATGGAGCAAATAGAAGATTTAGTTGAAAAGTTGTCAGAATATATTATTGGCTGTTTGTGATAGGAAGTTAGATTTCAATATTAGAAAAATAACATAGTTTCATTTGTTAGGCTTGTTAGAAATTAAACTAGGTTAGTTAGGAAATTGAAATTGTTGTATCAGTTTTAAATTCTTTTCTTGTATATAAATTTTTATGTTGATATTATTTTTAAATTAGTTTTTGATATTATGATTTGCCATTATTAAAGAGACGTAAAAGGAGAAATTTCAAAAAATCTGATTTAAAAAAAAATTAAAGTAATATACGGGAGCGCTCATTTGAAGAGCGCTCCTGTAAAGTAACATACGGGAGCGCTCTTCCAGAGAGCGCTCCTATATGGTTCATACGGGAGTGCTCTTTATAAAAGTGCTCCGGTATGGTTGCATACGGGAGCGCTCTTGTAGAGAGCGCTCCCGTATGTGGCTCCCTTACGGGAGCGCTTTTCGAAAAGCGCTCCCATATAGCGTATATACAGGAGCGCTTTTTTTAAGCGTTCCTGTACATTTCGGAGCGCTCAATACGAGAGCGCTTCAAAAGCGCTCCCTAAAGTAAAAAAAAAGCGCTCCTTTAAACTTATTTTATAGTAGTGACAAGAGCTTTTGATGGAGGACAAAATCAAGGAATAAATACAGGCCGAGTAATGGGTACTTAGTAAGGGTTATTTACTTCTCATCTTGCTTCTTTCTTTTACTTGAAAGCTATTATTTAATGTTTAAATTTTAGAATATTATTAATTGAAGGATAACTAAAATTGTTATATGATTGGATCCAAAACAGTGGATATATGACTCCAGAATATGCTATGGAAGGATTATTTTCAGTGAAATCAGATGTTTTTAGCTTTGGGGTTCTTCTACTTGAAATCATATGTGGAAAAAGGGTGAGATCTTTCCACTTCTCTCAACATCGTCAAAGCCTTCTAATTTATGTGAGTTCTTTTTACCCCTAATGTCATCTGGTTAATAATTTCAAATTTTACAATGATAATAATACTCTTTGCAATCAACATTTCAAAATGGAGCCAAGAAAAGAAAAACTATGCTCCTTTGTAAAAGAACATAACAATTTTTTTTTTTTAATCTCCATAGCAGCTTGAGTTTGTATGTTATATATATATATATATATATATATCTAACACAAGAATCTTGAGTTTCAAGTGTGGATAAGTTTCTACATATTTGTATATTTGACTCAGGTTTGAAAAAATTTAGTATACAAGTTAGTCGTCAAAAATATATTTTTTTTTTTTTGCATACTAATTTTCTTGGCCATAATAACAAAAGGGCAGCAATATTTTCTTATTTTTGGAATGAAAGCTAAATTTAGAATGAGAGAATATAATCTAGTATTATATCAAGAACTATTACTCCTAATATCATTCATGAAAATTGAATTAATGTGAATGGTTTCATAATCTCAAAGAATGATCAATTATATATTGCTTGCAGACTTGGAGTCTATGGTGTGATGGAAAATGCTTGGAACTGATGGACCCAATTCTGAAAGATTCATACGTAGAAAGCGAAGTTTTGAAGTGCATACACATTGGCTTGCTTTGTGTCCAAGAAGATGCAAAAGATAGACCAACAATGTCTGGCGTTGTAGTTATGCTTGCAAGTGACACAATGACCTTTCCCGAGCCTAATCATCCTGCATTTTCACTAGGAGGAATGGGCCCAGAAGATTCATCTACATCAAAAAATTCCAAAGATGATCCTTCAGTTAATAAGGTGACAATGTCTAACGTCACAGCTAGGTGATGATGACAACACCAATCTATGAAGGGAGAGATAACGAGAGTAGTGAGATCTACCTAACCTGATCAAGATTAGATTTTTCCATCCCTCTATCGTTCTTCAACTATATTGTGAAGTTGTAAGAGTCTGGAAGGACATTTAATTAGCCATGATGTTTTTGATGGTGATGAGGGACTATGGCTTCAAGGTTTAGACAAGTTAGAGTAAATCAAATAGGTCTATGCTTGCTTCTCTTGAAGAATTTTTGAAAAGAGAAGACAGCCTATATCATTCATGTTGAACTAAAGTATATATGTCTATGTATGCATGTATATGAATGACATATTCAATATGTGTTATATTGTTCTAGAATCTTATCCTTTTTTCGATAAATTAAATCTAATGTACATTTCTATCTAGTTGGTTCTATAAAAAAAAGGCTCCTTGTAGATAACAATTACAGCTAAATCTTTGTAGAAAATTGATTGTGTATATATTTGATGTGTTATGTTGAATAATCAACTAATTAAATATACTTTAAACTAAAACTTATTCATTTCTATTTTGAATATATTTTGAAGATGATATATAGCTCCTAACATCCTGTTTAAATCTTTGTGAGAAAAAATAATTGTATGAATATTTTATGTATTGTGAAGCAATTGTCCAATTCTAAACTGTATTCACATATAATTGTCATTAAAATTTAATTAAAAATGAAACTTTTTATGAAACATTGTTTAAAACTTTCCTTTTCACATGAAACAGACAGTGGAAGAATCACCTTTGATTGCAGCAAGGGAAAAGAATTGGAGATCATTGAGATTTTAAGTAGATTAAAGGGATTGGTAGAGGGTTAATAAGAATAAAAGCCCAATAACTAATTAATGTCAAAACTAGATGAAAAATGTAGAGGCCAAAATGATCATCTTTTTAGAAAGAAAAAAATTAATAAGTTATTTTTTCCAACGGCACTCCACCTCTCATAATTATTTAACGTTTTTTTTTTTCCTTTTTGTATGAGAGAAAATCTTAAAATTATTTCGCAGTATATTAATCAATATTTCAAGGAAAAATTATAGTTTTGATATTTTATATTTAGGTGTTAAATTTAAATGAGTAGATGTCTTAATATTTTTTTTCAATGTATAATGTTCAAACTTTATTTAATGGTATTGAATCTCTTCGTCCGGATGTTTTAACCTAAATATTTAAAATATATTTTCCTATATATAAAATTTTCTTCTACAAAAAATCGTCAGTTTTTTTCTTTGTACTACATATTCAAGAGAAACAAGTTTTTACAAGGAAATTATACCTTTTTTTTTACTTTTTAATATAATAAAAGTTTAGATAAATTAGATCTAGATGACTCTAATTTTTAATTTGAAAAAGTATTACATACATACATAACTAAACACATTTTTCACATACATTATATAAAACTAGCAAAATATCCATGCAATGCACAGGTCTTATATTATAGGTTTTATAAATCTGTGTTAATTTTATAGGAAGATGTTTTTCAAAAGAATAACTTATGGCAAATAGGCAAATATCTTTAATCTCTATATAATCTTATATGCAGTGGGATTATATAATTATCATCATGAATATTAAATATGCATATTAAAGTAAAGCAAATGATAAAAATTAAATGCATATTGTGTGTGTGGATACAATAGGAAACATATGAACAAAAAATCATAATTATTTAAATCAAATTACTAAAGACTTTCCTATAGATGACATTAGAAGTTCTATTTATGGAGCCATCCTACTTAAGAATCAATAATTTTAAACCTTTCCTACTTCAAACATGAGAAGCAACAATATATAATTGATTGTAGGGTGAGAACATGTTGAGGCATGTGTAAAGCAACACAACACATGCTTTGACCTTGGCTCTTATTAATGGCCATGGCAAAAACTAACATAATAAGAAACTACCTCTTTATCATAGTGAATAGTAATGTCAAATTAGATGGGACATACACATATCAATATATAGTATATACTTAATTATGTCCTTGCATTTGAACTAGACATTTCTTTGCCCTCAATAACATGTTTTTCAATTTGTTTAACTATGAGACATGTATCATTGCACAACCCCATAAATATATAATGTTCCACATTAAAATAATTAGAGCACCCACTTTGAGCATTAATTCAAGACGCTTAGCATTTAAATTTAATTTAAAAAATTCATAGTGTGAATGTCATCAAGTAAATACATGTTCCCATCATCTTTTGCAACACTATCAAAGATCAATACACAACTTCCTCACCAGAAAGTAGGGACAATATGTAACTATTTACTTCTTCAACTACAGCCAATATAGGAGCTAATATAGTCATGTTTCTAAAATATGAAGACTTATAGACATTGTTAAGGAAATCCAATAAAGTTGAATCAATGGATTTTTCCTCCAAACAGATGCTAATATATAGAGCCATATTTCTAAAATACATTCTAGTAACAAATTCTTTTAGGATCTTAATATCTATATATCTTTCATTAGCTCTAGCAGCAATCCAATCACTAATTGATAATCTAGCTAGCAAAATCTTGAAAAATAGTAGTAGATGCCCAGTATTTGTTGCAAGAAGTTGTTAGTATAAAAAGTTGACAATTATCCTAAATGTACAAAGAGTTAATGGTGGCCAAAAAAAAAAAATTCTCTTGACCTACCTAGAATAATATGAAAATTTTGCTTGAAGTTTTAATCAAACACAACAAATTTTCCTCCAAAGATAAAGATAATCGACTAATGGGTTGTTTAACTTTGGAATATCCTTTTAATCTTTGATACAAAACTTGTATGCCATAAGAGCCTTATTTTACAACTGTAGGTGTATTTCAATTCAATTGGTGAAGGAGAATCTTTTTTCTTGTTTTTTTATTCTTTCCTTATAGATAATGGAAAGTAAATTGTTGATTTCTCCATGTTAACTAGTTTTTTCCATCACAATTTAAGAAATATATTTATTTAATATTGAGAAAGCCATGAAAAGTGTTTCAGAATCTGGCAACAAAAAACTGTATATACATTATATTGTTGGCAATCATCATATAATGAATAATTTTGCTGTGTCACTAAACATCAATAATTGTGATTAATTTTAAAATATATTTTTTGAAAACAATAAATTGATTCTCTTCAATAAGAATTTTTTTCAAAGAATGTATAATTTTGTAAACTAATTATTGTTTAAAGCCTGAAAATGTCTTCTTTTTTTTTTTTTTGCGTAAGTAAATCCAATTGCATTACCTCTTTTATGTAAGTGCTTAAATTATATTTCAAATATTAAATAACAGTTTTCATTACTTTAAATCCCTTCAATCATGCTCATGGAGATGATTTCTTGTCGTGCATGATGATGAGGAAAACGGAACATTACAAAAAAAAATTAAAAATAAGTAACTTTTAATGGTGATTTTAAAAAGTCACTACTAAAAATGAATAATTTGCGACAACTTTTAAGTTTGACTTTCTACAGTGATTATAGTGGCGACTCTAAATCTCATCATTGAAAGTTTGACGTTCGTATTATCATCATAATTTTTTATTTTTTGTTTAATATAATATTTAACATTTTAAAATATTAATTTTTTTTATTATTTTATAATGAATATATAAAATAACATAATGAATTTTCATTTAATATATTTTATGATTAAATTGTAACTTTAAAATAATAAAATTATTTTAAGATAAAGTTAAGGTATTCTTTAATACTAATGAGTCAGACTAAAGAATTAAGTCAAATCATATTATTTTATATTAATTTTTATTATCAAGTAATGTTTAGTTCGATTCGGTCTAACTATTTTGGCTAGTTTGGTTAATTGATCTTGGTCAATTAACACTAAATCTAACTGAATTGTTCAATGCATACTCCTATGTGAAGTGATAAATTCATTCAAAAATTTTAATGTTTGATATTTTAATTTGGACTGCATAAATGAGTCTCTATATTCAAATGTTTTATGATTACATTGATATTTTAAACAATAACACTACTTATTTATAACAATTAGACATATGATAGTTAAATTTATTCATTCATAGAATGATATTTTATATAATCTAATTTGTCAATTCAAATTCTACATTTAATATCGATAACTTTGAAACTTGATGCCGGTTTAGATGTTTCTAGTTTGATGGTTAATAATGAAGAAGAGGAAAAAAATGAGATATTCTAAAATTATACTTTTAACTTTTACAATAGATGAAATATATCTATGTATGTGATGCTATATAATTTTTTTTTTTGTTTGATGCTGTCTTACAACATAAATATAAAAAAACAAATAATATAATGTATAATTTTTTATAGAATTATCATTTAAAAATAAAAAATAACTAAAAAGGTAAAATGTAATGTGAAAACAAGTCAATTACATTATATAAGAGTTATTGTTAATCAAAAGTAAAAATAAAATTTTAAATAAAACTAGCTAGAAAAATAAATAACTATGATCTAATGTATAGTCATCTATATTTTTATTATATATTCTTAAATATTTTTATATTATAATCATAAATATGAATATTAAAATAAATAATACAATAACCTCAAGAAGTAAAAAAAATTAAAATAAATAATATAAATGATATTGTATCAATTATATTTATAGTTTACTTTAGACAAAATAAACAATATAATTTGCAATTTAATAAATTTATATTTTTTATTTTAATAATATATGTGTGTGTGTGTGTGTGTGTGTAACAATAGATTGCAGGTTCATTCCAGTTTAGTGGCAAAATGGTGGGATACAAAAGAAAGAGGCTATGGGTTCAAACCTTAGATGATAAAATTTGCGAATATAAATTGGTCA